TGGATGCTTAACTGAACCACCTAGGTGCCCCTTTCTTTTCTTACTCATTTTATTTCTTTTCTTTTCTTTTCTTTTCTTTTCTTTTCTTCTCTTCTCTTCTCTTCTCTTCTCTTCTCTTCTCTTCTCTTCTCTTTCTTTTCTCTTCTTTCTTCCTTCCTTTCTTCCTTTTTTTCCCTTCCTTCCTTCCTTCCTTCCTTCCTTCCTTCCTTCCTTCCTTCCTTCCTTCTCTCTCTCTCTCTCTCTTTCTCTCGACAGCATTCATGATGGCTTATTGCAATGCTTTTAAGGTGGCTACTTCAAAATCCTTGTCATGTAATTCCAACATATGAGTCACGTTTTTGTTGGCATCTATTGACTGCTTGTTCTCATTCTTGTTGAGATTTCCCTGGTTCTTTGTATGATGAATGATTTTAGGTAGCATTCGAAACATTTTGGGGAATATTTTGTGAGACTTTAGATCATATTCAATCTTCTTTATTGCAAGGAGTCACCTTGGTAGCATATAGGTCCTGGCCTGCTTTTGTGGGTTGTGGTTATAATGATATTAATTTCTAGAACCTTTGTATAATCTTGTTCTACGTTGTGTGTAGATCTCTTATCCAGAGATCCAGAGACCTAAGTGAAAGCCATGCATGTATTCCACACTGTAGCTGAGTTTTAAAACCTTTTGCTCTTTTAATTTTGGTCAGTTTTACATGCAGCTTATCATGGGTATCTGTTATTTCACAATTTAAGTGTTCTTTTTCCTAGTTACCTCCTGTCCCAAATCCTCCTCCTCCTTTCTGTTTGATAGATGCCACCTTCTATAGCTGGATGGTGGTGGTAGTGGAAATCTAGGCTTCCCTCTCACCTTCTGCTGTCACCACTCCAGTGGGGTAAGCTAAACACTGCCTGTTACCAGAAGGCTGAAGTGGAAGTTCAGTAATACACTCAGTTTCTGCTGATACCACTACTAAGGAGTAACTGTGTTTTGGAACTTGGCTTTTGATTGGCCGAGGTAGAACAGGCTTCCCATTGGCTCTCTGCTAGTACCAGAAGACACATGGAACTCTAGGTTCCCTGCTTGATTTCTATGGCACTCTTGGAGATGGGCTCTGTTTCCTCCCCATTGGGTTTGGCAGGAGTAGAGTTGGCATTGTCAGTAAGGTTTCCATATTGCTAGAAACTCTTCTTTTCCTGGTCATTTGACTAGAGCAAGCACGTTTTCTTGGCCTGTTTTCATCAGTGCCTATTGGCATTTCTGGGTTTTAGGATTCTCCAGAACTAAGTCTATAGTATATGGGAGATAAAAACAAAACTAATGACTGAGAGTAGAAAAGAACCTATACATTTGGAAATAATTTCATACATCTGTAGTCAATAGTTTTTTGACAAAGTTACCAAGATATGTTCAGTGGGGAAAAAATAGTTTCATCAACAAGTGGTGCTTGGACAACTGGATACCCACATGTAAAAGAAATAAGCTTCAACCCTACCTAGGTAGATACCTACCATATGGAGAAATAAGCTCCAAAAGACTGAAAAGACTATGTGTTAAGAGCTAAAACCATACATCTTTTAAAAGAAAATATATAGGTAATTCTTCATGACCTTGGACTTGACAGGTAATTCATAGATATAACATCAAAAATGAATAAATATGGCTTCACAAAAATTTAAAACTTTGTGTATCCAAGTATATGATCAAGAAAGTGAAAAGACACCTACCTACAAATGGGAGAAGATATCTGTATATTATATATCCAGTAAAGCTCTGGCATCCAGAACATAAAAATAACTTCTAGAACTCAACAAAAAGATTATCAACCCAGTTTTTAAAATGGGCAAAGAACTTGATTAGACATTTCTTCAAAGATGTTCAAATGGCCAACAAGCCCATGAAAAAAAAATGCTCAACATCATTAGATATTATGGAAATGCAAATCAAGACCACACTGAAGTCCTACCTTATACCTACTTGGATAGCTTCAATCAAAAGAATAGAAAATAACAAATGTTGGCAAGGATTTAGAGAAATTGGAACCCTCATGCATTGTTAGTGGGAATGTAAAATGCTATAGCTGCCCTGGAAAAGACTTTGGTAGTACCTCAAAACGGTAAACAGAGCTTCCGTATGAACCATCAATTCTACTTCTCCATACACACCCAAAAGAATTAAAAGTAGTGTTCCTAGTAGCATGATTCACAGTACTCAAAAAGTGGAAACAATCTAAATCCCATTAACTGATAAACATAATGAGATATATATAGTGGAATATTACTTAACCATTAGGAAAAGGGAAACGAAGGATGGGTACATGATACAACACGAATAAACCTTGAAAACATTATACTAAGTGAAAGAAACCAGACACAGGTTACAAGTATTTGGTTCCATTTATATGAAATGTCTATAATAGGTCAGTCCATAAAGACAGGAAGCAGTTTTGTGGTTGCCAGGGCCTGGGGAAAGGGAGAGGGTTACTCTTTAATGGGTATGGTTTTTTGGTTTGATGAAAACATTTTGGAACTTGATAGAAGTGATGATTGCACAGTATTGTCAGTGTACTTTCCCACTAAATTATACAAAATGGTTAGTTTTATATTATATGAACTTTACCTCAATAAAAAGAAATGGAAAGAAAACACCGGGAGTTCCCCAGCCAGGCTGCCACATTTCTTTTCCCCTTTCAGAACTTTCTTGTTTTTGATGTTTTTTGTTTTTTTCCCTTAGCTGCAGGTATAGGGAGAAATGCATCTCTCCATATATGTATTCTCTAGAAGAAGTACATTAGACTCACCTTAATAGCTTTTTAAAAAGACTAATGCTTAGGGCCCCTGGGTGGCTCAGTCGGCTAAGCATCCGACTTGGTTTTTGGTTCAAGCCTCATACCAGGTGCTGACAGTGCAGAACCTGCTTTGAGATTCTCTCTCCCTCTCTCTCTGCCCTCCAATGCTCGCTCTCTTGCTCGCTCGCTCTCTCCCTTCCCCCCCCCCCCCCCAAACAAAACTTCAAAACAAAACCAAACTCCTGCTTGATCTCCATCCTGGACCAATTGAATGAGAATGGGAGAGGGTTGGGGGAGGTGAGTTGTATCACTATAAAAAATATTTATATGTTATTTAAGTGGCATCCACCATTATGAAGCAGTACTTGAAGCACGTACTTTCTGCAATTTATGAGTTTTGCAAATAGCCTTTTGACCCAGTCTGGCCAATAAGACATGAAGGAAATCTCTTTGTAAAGTGACCTTACTAAGAAGGTTGTTGTTTTGGACATTGTCATGTATTGGTATGAATTTTGAAATTGCTGTGACCATCTTGGTAACAGGCTACAAAGACAGTTAATACCAGGGATGCAGATAAGAGAGATGGAAAGAGATCTGGTGCTTGTTTACATCTCTCATCTGCTCGAATTAGCTGGCTCTGGAGTCTATTGTACTTTTATATTTTCTATTATATGAAAACGTATATGTCCTCATTGTTTTGGCTCTGATTTTTTATTGTAATATGTAGCTGGAAGCTTCCAAACTGCTATAGCTAATGAGAGAGAAAAAATAATGGTAAGGTTTATACTACTATTTACTAACATGTTTTTCTAATATTTGTCTTATATAAATAATACTGTAGTGAACATAGTGATATGTATAGCTACTTCATCATAATACTAGATTTTGTCACTGAGGTTAGAATGCCAAAAGTAGTCAGTATTATTATTGCTCTTATTTAATATTTTCAGATTGCTTTCCTAACCCATTATATCTATCTATAATCATAGCAGCAGTAAGTATTTTTTATCTTACTCATTGGATTTTTTGGATTGTTGTTTGCTCATGGAATGGCATTATAGTTTTCTACTTTGATTTCTTTTATTACCAGATGTGTTGATTATTTCTCCATGTTTTTACTTATTAGTTACATTTCCCCCCCCAAGTTTTTAATTTAAATTCCGGTTAGTTAACAAACAGTGCAATATTCATTTCAAGTGTAGAATTTAGTGATTCATCACTTAAATATAAATTACATTTCTTATTTTAGGAAATTACCTAGTCATGCCCTTTGCTCTACAACTTAGGGAACTTAGGGAAGTTATACTTGCTTTTACTAAAACAGCAGGATAATAAATGATGCCTACAAGAGGGAATTGATGTGAGGTTAAAATGAGGTGTATTTCTAAAGGTGTCTGAATACTTGCATAATTAAAATATTATTTATCAGTTTGTTACAAATAATTTTTATCATTACTGGTTTTTTAGTGATTTTATTTTACATGCAGAAATATTAAATTTTATTTTATTACATGTGTCACTTTCTAGTCCTAATTTAAATGGAAGAATAAAAGCAGTAAGACAAGGGGCACCTGGGTGGCTCAGTCTGTTGAGTGTCTGACTTTGGCATGGTCCATGGGTTTGAGCCCCACATCAGGCTCAGTGCTGAAAGCTCAGAGCCTGGAGCCTGCTTCGGATTCTGTGTCTCCCTCTCTCTCTGCCCCTCCCGCACTCATGCTGTGTTTCTCTCTCTCTCTCAAACATAAACAAACGTTTAAAAAAATTAAAAAAAAAAAGGACAAATGATAAAGTTATATGTGAGTTACTGTGGCAATAATATAAAATTGTCAAAATCCCATGATACTAGTTTGAAAGCAGAAGCCATTTCAATCAGAGGTTTTCTTTAATGTCATCATATTTATTATATGCTCTTTGAACCTTCTGAACAAAAGTCAGAGAGGTTTTTTCTTAGTTTATTTGCTTTTTAGTAATCTCTACACCCAAAATGGGGCCCAAACTAATGATCAAGAGCTCAAGAGTTACATGCTCTCTCAGCTGAACCTGCCAGGGACCCCAAGTCAGACTGTTTTTTAAGTACCATGTAACATGTGAAGCCTTTATTCCTTTATTCTCGATCCAGTTATTGGTGTGGGAATAGCTGCCAATTTAATAGAAGAGGATAAAAATTCAAGAGCTCAAAAATCTGAAAGTGTATTGCCTGTCAGTGTTAATTTCCTTTTCTTTTTCTTCTAGAAACATGATCAGGGGCAAGTTTTGTTGGATATAGTCTTCAAGCATCTTGATTTGACTGAGCGTGACTATTTTGGTTTACAGTTGGCTGATGATTCTACAGACAACCCAGTAAGTTTAAGCTGCTGTCTTTCATTTAATTTCAGTTTTTCTCAGTTCATAATATAAGGAATTTTTGATTTATAGTGTTTACTAATCTGATTAGAGAGTTAAAGTTTTAAGAATTTAATTAGAATGATTAGAGGTAATTCGTCTGACTTTGTTCGTTTTTTCCTGAAGATTTTCATAATTATAAGTCAGTCTGTGAATCTAGTGCCAGTTTCTTTCTTTTATCTCACACAACTGAGCTGTAAATCTAATTCATGCTACTTGAGTGACAGAAAGAAAATTGGGCATAAAGTTTAAAATATTAATAATGCAGCATTAAAATATTGAAGTAAAATAAAAAATATTTTCGAATGTTAATCTATCTTAGTCTTGTATAAATTAGCCTCCATTAAAGTGAAATTAGTTTTTTGTGGCATTCATGGCAGTCTGTTTCTAACTAAAGTTCTTAATTTGTTAAATGTAAATTGTCCAAGTAGAAAGATTCATAGGAGACCCTCCCAAATGAGATAGAGATTAAATTTTAGAGCTCTACAGTTCTTGGGCATTAAGTTACTTAGATTGTTACTAATTCTTTAATAGTTGCAATCATGATTCTTCTGGTTGGAAAAATTACATTATAGAAATAGAAGGTAGCATGTGGTAAATAACAGAAATGTTGAATTCTATGAAAAGCTCTATGCTATACACATAGGGTCTTTTACAAAAGAATAATGATATTCTTTTGATTAGTACAGGAGAGTGACAGTTTTGAAAGAGACCTTTTGTATATATGGTTTAGAAAAATTGGGGGGCACCTGGGTGGCTCAATTGATTGAGTGCCTGACTTCAGCTTGGGTCATGATCTCATGGTTCGTGAGTTTGAGCCCCACATCAGATTCACTCCTGTCCGCCTGTCACTGTAAGGCCTGCTTCAGATCTTCTGTACTCCCTCTCTAACCCCCCCCACTTTTTAAAGAACATAAATATATGATTTCAAGATGTGTATAAGCTCACCTTTGAGGCAATCCATGGAAAACTGACACACACACACACAAGTAAATGAAATGAAAATGAAAAATGAAATGAAACAAAACAAGAGATTTAGAGAGAGAACAAGTGGGATAGCTACCTGTAACTGAATAACAAAGATACTCTGCCCCTTTGGGTAGTGCAGCAGATATGGAATACTTTTTAATCTCTAAGATTATATTCATTTCAGATTTTTTTTTAATACAAGTTACATGAGATTTGTATTATAGACATACCACTCTGGTTACTGTGTGGCCAGTGGCAAATAGATTTGTAAACTAGAGACTTTGGGGGAGATTGGAGCCTCCTGGCATCAGAAAGCAGGGGAGAGACACCTGAGTGGCTCAGTTACTTGAATGTCCAACTCTTCTTGATTTCGGTTCAGGTCATGATCTCATGGTTCGTGAGATTGAGCCCCAGGTCGGGCTCTGTGCTGACAGCCTGGAGTCTGTTTGGGATTCTCTCTCCTTCTCTCTCTGCCCCTCCCCTGCATGTGCTGTGTCTGTCTGTCTGTCTGTCTCTTTCTCCCTCTGTTCCTCCCTCTTTCAAAATAACTAAACATTTAAAAAAACGAGGACAGAGTGTCTTTGCTATTCAGGTACAAGTAGCTATCCTACTTGTTCTCTCTCCAGATCTCTTGTTTCATTTCATTTACTTATATGTGTGTGTGTCAGTTTTCCATGGATTGCCTCAAAGGTGAGCTTATACACATCTTGAAATCATATATTTATGTTCTTTAAAAATATTTAAGCCTCCTGTTTTAAAAAGCACAGTGTTTCTGCATCAAGATGGCAAACTGAGTGCATATTTCTAGCACGTATTAAACACTGAGCACTAAGTATGTGAATCTTATCAAATTTAATCCTAACATCATACCTGGATACTACTGTCCCCACTTGACATATGAAAAAATAGAGGTACAGAGAAGTGAAGTTACTTGCCCAAGATCACAAAGTTCATGAACGTAAGTATTTCAGAGCATGCCCAATTCAGTGCTGAGCAAGGTGTGGTGGGGGAGCGAGTTGGGGAGGCTGTGGAGACTTTGGGGGAGTGTTGGGAGAAGGTATGCTGCTGTACAAGCAGCCAAGTGGGTCAGCTCGTCCCTACTTACTCATGGGCCATGAGGGAAGTGATTAGTGCTACTTAACCCTAAGTTTACCATTAAGTGTGAGTACTTGGACTAGAGATGCAAGTCCCAGAGGGCTGGTGACACCTGGTGAAATGAAAAAAGTCCCCCTTGCCTGAAGACTAGGGTGCCTGATACGCTACTGGCAGCACTCTATCTTTCACCGGTTATTGGAATCAAGCTGTAGATCTCGTCTCTTCTCCACAAGTAGGCAGACACATAAGGGATTCATAAAGAAGCTTACAGGGAATTTTAGCCTAAAAAACAGGCACGCAACAAAATAGATAACCAACATTTGAGGAAAGCCAACACAATGAAAGAGATTCACCAAAGTGAGTGAATTTTACACTTCTGGAAATGGAAAATATGTAAAATAGAAATTGTAAAATATTTTGTAAAAGTTTGTGAAAATGGAAATAGTAGTACCAGTCTTGGGGCTAATGTGAAGATGAAGTGAATTTTTACATGTGAAACACTTAGAACATTGCTTAAACTTAGTAAATGCTTGATAAATATTCATTTATCAACAAACAAATGAAAAGGACTCTAATTTACGTTGGCATGATTAGAAAAGATATTATATCCATGCAAAGGGAATAATGACAGATGTTGGAAATTAAAAATATAATTGTCACAGCAAAAACCTCACAGGTTAGGATAAATAAAGTAGATGCTATAGAAAACTTAATACTTCAACATTAATAGATGTAACAAATAGTAATACAAACAAAGAAATTTTTCACAATACAACTAACAGGTTTAATCAGGCAATCATGTAAACTTTTTTTTTTAAAATACTACATTTTGAAAGATACAGATTAACTTGCAAATATGAGACATTTTGAAGATTTAACAATATACTCTGAAGGGAAAAGACTGAGCAATTAATTTTGCGAAGACTATAAAGAACTCTACGCCTAAATTGAAACTCCTTCAGGAATTGATGGAGTTGAGGATGAAATACTCATTTCCAATAGCTATTTCTTCTCCTTTTATTGAGATATAATTGACATGTAACATTATTATATTAGTTTCAGGTGTACAATATAATGATTTGATATTTGTGTGTATTATGAAATGATCACCACAGTAAGTGTAGTTAACATCATCACCATACAGTTACAAATATTTTTTCCTTATGATGAACTTCTAAGATCTTTTCTTAGGTAGATGCAATATATTAACTATCATTATTATAAAATATTAACTACAGTCACCATGTCATACATTCCATCCCCAGGACTTAATTATTGTATAACTGGAAGTTTGTACTGTTTGACTCCCTTTACCGTTTCACTCATGCCCTCGGCCCCACCTTGGGCAGCCACTTATCTGTTCTCTGTATCTAAGAGTTCAGCCTTTTGGTAAGGTTTGGCTTTTTGTGTGTTTTTTTTGCGTTAGGTTCCACTTATAAGTGAGATCATAATGTTATTTGTTTTAACTTGTCTGATTTATTTTACTTATTATACAAGTTGTCACAACTTTTGAAGTAAAGCCTATACTTTAAAAGTCTGTACAAGTTGTCACAAGTGGCAACTTATTATACAACTTACTACTATCACAACTTATACAAATTGTCACAAGTGGCAAGATCCCCTTCTTTTTTTATGGTTCAGTAATATTCCTGTGTGTGTTTGTGTGTCTGTGTGTGTGTCTGTGCACTCCCTATCATTTTTATCCATTCATCTATCAGTAGACGCTTAGGTCAGCTGTTGTAAATAATGCTTCAGTGAACACAAGGATACAGGTATCTTTTCCAGTTAGTGTTTTTGTTTCCTTTGGATTAATACCAAAGTGCAATTGCTGGATTATATAGATATTCTATTTTTAATTTTTTGCGAAACCTCAATACTGTTTTCCATAGTGACTGCAGCACTTTATATTCCAACTACCAATGCTCAAAGATTCCCTTTTGTCCACATGCTCACCAACACTTACTGTGTCTTGTTTAAGGCCAGTGTTTTTTGTTTGTTTCTTTTTAATTTTTTTTAGTGTTTTATTTATTTCTGAGAGAGAGAGACAGACACAGCGTCATCAGGAGAGGGCCAGAGAAAGAGGGAGGCACAGAATCTGAAACAGGCTCCAGGCTCTGAGCTAGCTGTCAGCACAGAGCCTGACGTGGAGCTCAAACCCACAAACCGTGAGATCATGACCTGAGCCGAGGTTGGACACTTAACCGACTGAGCCACCTAGGCGCCCCAAGGTTTTTTATTGGTTTTCTGTCTGGATGATCTGCCCGTTGATGAATGTGGAATATTAGAGTTCCCTTCTATCATTGCTGTCTATTTCTTCCTTTAAGTCTGTTAATACTTGCATTATATTCTGTTAATACTTGCATTATACGTTTATATGCTCTTATGTTAGATGCATATATATTTACAAATTTTATATCTTTTGGTTGGATTGACCCATTTGTTATTACATAGTAACTTTGTCTCTTATTGTAGTCTTTGTATTAAGTTCTGTTTTGTCTTTTTTAAATTTCTTTTTTTTTACTTCATTTATTTGGAGAGAGAGAGAAACAAGCGAGCACATGAGCATGTGAGCAGGGGAGGGACAGAGAGAGAAGGAGAGAGAGAATCCCCGGCAAGCTCTGCACTATCTGTACGGAGTCTGACATAAGGTTGGATCCCCCAACTGTGAGACCATGACCTGAGCTGAAATGAAGAGTCAGACATTTAACCAAATGAGCCATCCAGGTGCCCCTATTTTGTCTTACATAAGAAGCTACCCAGCTTTAAGTTTCCATTTGCATGGAGGATCTTTTTCCGTCCCTTCACTTTCAGTCTGTATGTATCCTTACATATGAAGCAAGTCTTTTGTAGGTAGTAGATAGATGGTTCTTATTTTCTTTGTTGACAGTTTGAAA